AGTTTCCTCTCGCAGGTTTTCAATGTTTCACCATGATCCTTCTCTGCGATCGCCCCCCACCTCTGGCATTCTTTCCTTAAAGAAATAGAAATGCCCCCTCTCTCCTCTCCTTCAAAAACAATTAAAAACTAATTTCTGTACACTGGAATATGGAGAGGAGGATGACATTCACTCAATAGTCCAGTTCCGAATTCGTCATCATACTCCAACTCAGTTGTGGTGTTGATCTTGTTGGCTCCATTAGCCGTATTACCTTTTAATAATGTTTTTAAATGAGTGTTAAATGTTGTTTATATAATTTATGTTTAATATTTATTATGTTAGATGTAGATTAATTGGTTGCTTTATGTTTCTATTTATGTATTGGATTTCTCCCTCTTAGAATACTAACAGCTCTTCTAAAGAAGATGCTGGGATTGCGCCGGGATTGTGGCGCAGCTGGCTGAGTGTCAGCTGCATTAAGATCACTCTGACCAAAAGGTAGTAGTGAGTTCGAAGCCAGCCCGGGCTGGAGTGGGTGTCCAGCCATTGTGTAGCTCGTTGTCGAAACCCGAAAAACAGTTGCATCTGTCAAGTAGGAAAAAGGGACCACCTTGTGTGGGAGGCTAAATTTAACTAATTTATGAGGCCATAAAGAAAGAAGACTCTGGGGAATGTGGAATGCGGAAGAACTTCATCGGTGGCGTTGATGGACGATGAAAAGCAGCAGCTCCCCTGGCGGCCAGAAAAAGGTTAAATAGCCTTTGTCTGTTAAATGTTGTTTGTCAAACTGGCATTGAATGTTTGCCATATATGTGTTTACTGTAATCCGCCCTGAGTCCCCTGCGGGGTGAGAAGGGCGGAATATAAGAACTGTAAATAAATAATAAATAATAATAGTATTGAGTGCTTGCCATCTTTCATTGTAATCTGCCCTGAGTCCCCTTGGGGAGAGAGGGCAGAATATAAATGAAGTTTTAAAAATTATTGTTGTTGTTATTATTAACTGTAGCCTTTTTTTTTTCATTACACTTGCCAGTTTAGATGAGGGTGGGACGGTGTGACAAAAAAAGAAAAAAAATGCAAAGATCAAAAAGGAAGTGGCATGAAATACAATATAAAATTCTTTAGATTATTTCTTAGTGAGGTGAGAAACTTTGTAACATGGGCAGAGAATCTGGCTGCCATTCCATGCTTTGTAAATAAATCTGGATGCTCCTGGCATTAGAGGTACTTCTACACTATAGAATTAATGCAGTTTGATACCACTTTAACTGCCATGGCTCAATGCTATGGAATGCAGTGGTTTGTAGTTTGGTGAGGTATCAGCACTTTTTGTCAGAAAGGGTGAAGACCTTGTGAAATTCAAGCTCTCATTATTCCATAGCACTGAGCCAAAGTATTATTTGTAGTGTAAAAAAAGTTTTAATTCTACAGTGTAAATGTATTCTAAGACTCAGGTTTTTAAATCTATTGGTACGTGTTGTAGTCTCCAATGTCTCTTTGAAGATTAAGTCCATATGCTCATTGTATACAGTCCTCCATTCTCTCCCAGAAGATACCATTCTTGAGCAAGCAAACAAAAAGTCACCATATGAGTAAGTATCACACCTTGCAAAAGGTGTCAAGAGAAAACAAGGGAAAATATCATGCTCTTTATCTAGGTTGGAAACCGGAGTGAATCTATTAAAACTGACAATTTATTACACATATCATACACACACGCATAGACACACACTGAATTAATTGTTAGTACCAGTGTCTGCTCCCTGCCATCTCTCACCCTTCTGTCACTCTACATAAAAAGGATAATAAATTAAATACTGAAATGGAGTAATGAAAAAAATCTGAGCTGTTCTAAACACAGTGTTTTAGTGACACACTTATTTATTACCTCTTTAGTCAAAGTTCTGCACAACAAAGCTGCCAGACCAAATGTGTCATTTTCTGTCATCAATCAGCTCCTATCCTCCTGTCACCAAGTCGATCAGTCATCAAATTCAGTTCTTTGCCTTTTTCCCTTACTCTAATTAAGATATGAGGCATCAAAGAAAACTAAGAATGGATTTCCCTTCGCAAGACTAAGCAAATTATTCTTTATTAACTGGTAATGAGAAAGCTTGAAAATGGTGGGAAGTGCAGCTTGCTGTGAAGCGGGTGGGTGGACGAGGGAGAGGCAAAGATAAATTAGATTTTATGTAGGCTCCCAACTCAACCACTCTTTGGGTAAAAAAACAGTACACTTCATAGAAATAAAATACTTTTCTGTCATAGCCTTCAAAGTACAGTGAAAGAATGTGGGCCATCTCAGCTTTTCTATGTTTGGAGGCAAACCAGGCAAAGGAAGGTCTTTGTGTCAAAGCCTTGACATTTGGTTTTCTTGTGACAGCTTCCCTTATTATTTTCATCAGTTTTATTTCTTCTCCTTTGCTTTTTCATCCAAGCGGGAAGCTCAAAGAGGCATACGCTTAGAAACCCACAAAACATAAAAAGAAAAAGGAAGATAAAAATACTGAAATGTCCCAATAGCTACCTGGATCATCTTTTGAAGTCAGAAAGCAAGACTATGCAACAGCAGCATATGTCTCGGGATGTGATTCATTGGACATAATGATAACTGTACATTTGCTGGACCAAGCAATCATCCATAAAATTATATCAACATGTTTATACTGTATATTTTTTCACTATCTTTTAACCTTTCTTTGTAGTCATTCATTGGTAAACGTAAAGTTAGAGCTTCCTTTTTGTTACAGTTATATTATTTCCCCAGCACACACTTCACACAGGTCATAGTTCTACAAAATGTCCTCAAACAGAAGATAATATGGAGGTGGAAAAGGCAAGGTCTACAAATCAATCACTTTGACATGATTTTCTTTAAAAGACTATGGGTGAGCTCAGATGCGATCATATCAGGGAAGAGGCAGTGTGCTAATGTCTCTTTCCAAATGGCTTTTGCTGCAATAGGAGTGGCTAAATAAACCACAATTATTTCTGTGCATGTGTACTATGATGCCTTGTAAAGCTGGGCTTATTTAACTCCATACCACCTTTCCCCAGCAATCTAGTTTACTTCTCTTAATCCCCTATATCCTAATAGAACTATCCGGTCTGTCTCTTTTAATAAGCCAACAATAACAAACCATAGGTTGTTCTTTTGGTCAGACTACAGGGTTCAGACATCACAACAAACAAACCATGATTATGGGAGGTCATTCAGGGCAAAGTATGATTGTCTTCCAAGGATAGAGTCTTGGCAGTAAATAACTGTGAAAGCCTATTTTAGATCCACATTGTCTTTCACATTGAGGACATTTCCAGACTGAAGGTGGTCATGACAAGGATTTGCTTGATGCACTTTTCTCTTGGCACATTTCTTCCTTTCACACTGTATTTGTGCCTCTTCAAAATCCATAGCACTGTTGGTTACAGCTGACCTCCAGTTACAACACTCGAGTGATAGGGCTGCCAAGTTCTTGGTATTTATGCCACATTTTTTTAAGATTAGCTTTAAGTCCAACTTTAAATTGCTTCATTTATGATTCAATGTCCATGTTTATTTAGCTGCCATTGTTTCTAGCAACATTGGCTGGATAGGATACAAAAACTGGATAAAATGCAAAAGTAGTTTGCACGTGATTCAATAAATAAATAACCTAGCCTTCATCAATACACTGATTTTTTTGCAGTTCTTTGTGTCTTCCAGATCTTATACATACTCTGATGAAATAGATACATATTCTCAAATGGTCTTGCATATACACTGAAAAAATAATATTACTAAGTATGAAAAATAAATGACTATAGCATTTTCTATATTTTATAAAATAGTTTGATATTTTTTTGTTTTTCCTACTATGTCTGAAAACAAAGAATCACTCAAGATGGAACAAGACACACATGGACAGGTTGAACATGCACTAGACATAACCACAGTTTAATTAGTTGGTCAGAGTACTGACAGCTCTCAAATATTCACTATATAGAGATCTATAGCAGACAACTGGTGAGAATAGAGTTGGAATGTTTTTCTGCATCCAAACACAGCTACTTTAGTAATTAAAGGCTCATATTCCTTTACATTGAGATAGATGGGTATGGCAAATTCAGAATACAAAAATATACCAATGGTTGTAAATTTCATTCCCCTGCTACCTCTGTGCTGAAAAAAAGAATGTTTATATTCCTTGGGAAGTGGACTTTCCCATAAAACTCATCTAATGAAAAGGGTTATTTTCTTTTTTGCCTTTTCCTCCATTCTGGCAACTTTTGACAGCTTCTAGAACCCAGGCACACATTTTAAGAAATCATTGGCAAGCTAGATGTTCTTGGCCTTTTTTTTTTTTTTTTGTGGTATGAGAAGAATCTAACTGCCTAAGAATCTGTGACCCAAAATACACTTTGTCATAAATAGGAAGCTCTTACAGCAATACTGAAGGATGTTGGTAAGCTTTCATTTGCTATTATTGTTTATAATCTAGATCTATTTTCCATTACTGTAATCAATACATTTAATGCCATTCTTTTACACTGGGGTTCTGGTAGTTTTCTGATTATGCTTGAATCTACTTTGAAGGAGTTCTGAGCAGTTTAAACTTCAAGGAGTAGGACAATCTGGATAAAGTCCCCTGCCTGCCATCACACAAAAAGGGTATCAGGGAACTAAAAAACAACATTTTAAATCCCATGGAGAGATCCTAATGTTTATATAGTTTATCCAACTGTTAGCAAGGTTGAAAGAAAATAGATAGACATTAAACTGAAGCAATTTTATGTACTGAACATCAGTTACAGATATTAGTCTGCTTAGGTTCACTGCACAGTCCTACAAAAGAGTTCCATTAAGTTTATGTGCTATCAAATTCATATTGTAGGTATAAGTGTTTCGGGGGAGAAAACTGTTCCTTAAGGTAAATAATCTTCACATATTTTCATACTCAATTCCTTTACCACTTGAATGTATAGCCCTCTGTGGTGATATTGTTCTTTTTATATAGTGGTACAATAAGAGCACTTACCACTTGCCCATTCTGAGGATTTTTATGAGCATATGGGGGCCCACGGATATGATTCCACATTTGGCCTGAAGTCATTGCAAAAACGACACACTGAAAAGAAAGAGAAGACACCATTCAGAGAAAGAAAAGAAGGCAATATAGGTCAACAGGGTTGTGTTCCCAGGAAATCTGTCAGTAATTAAGAGACATTTCAGGTTGGTTCCTCACTTTAAGATTTGTGCTACTACAGTTAAAACAAGATAGGAAAAGTGGAAGAAAGGGAATGAGGCTGCACGGGTTGGGTGTGATGCATCCAAGCTTCAGAAAACAAATGCCAGCCTAAGATCATGTTGTATAGAATCTCTCTGATGATTTATTTCCACTATCAGTAAAGAGTTATTTAAACTCAGAGCTGGATTGAATTGCCATATTATATTCATGTATAAGTTGATCATATGTGTAAGTCAACAGCAGATTTGGGGGGCAAAATCATGTTGTTGTTTTTTAAAAAATATATGATCTGTTGTTGTTTTTTTTTAAAAAAATATGATCTGTGCCTTCCCAGATTAGGAAATCTCCACCACCAAGTCCCATAAGCACTTTATCAGAACCAATGATCGCTGCACATCGCACATCGCACTTGCCCTGGAAGCCCTATATACACCTCCTGTCACATCAGCACTTTTAATCTTGTACCCATTGCTCTGGCCCGGCCCAGTTTTATCGTGTTTAGTGTATTGTGCCTGTTGTTTATTTTGCTTTATTCTGTTTTTAATTGTTTGATTTGCTTAGATTGTATTGTTGTGTTGTGTGTTGAGGCCTCGGCCTGTGTAAGCCGCATCGAATCCTTCGGGAGATGCTAGCAGGGTACAAATAAAGTATAATAATAATAATAATTAAGTCAGGAGTCATTCTATGGAGAGGGGAAAACACCAATACTGCTTCAGGGGGGCAGCCATCACTGCAATTTCCTTAGAAGACCAGCAGCAGATCTATGGCAGTGAAAGCGGCTCAGTGCTTCTTCTAGGTTCTCCTGGGCTGGACTAAGGATGCTTCCAGACAGCAGTTAAACGTGTGCCAAAGTGGGTTTAAAAACCTGTTTTGGTGTGCATTTAAGTCCCCACACTGCCCAAAAAAACCCAGGGCTTTGCCGGTGGAGTGTTTAGATGGCATTGCAGTAACTACTGTGATGGCACCCATTCACCCGGAAGACCCCCAAAGAAGCCCTAAAAACCTAAAACATCTTATTGGGCCACCATTATGATGGTCCTAGAGTCCTCCAGGCATGTCATTTCAATGAGCCAGGACTCCAGGACTACCATAATGGTGGCCTGGTAAATTGTTTTAATTTTTAGGGCTTCTTTGGGTATAAGTCTAGAAATTTGCTCTTTCAGGGAGTGGTGATTATGTGACAACAGCGAAGGGCCAAATTTTGTAAATTTTGGTGGATGTGTCCATTGTATGAAGAAACAAAAATGTAATTCAGCAGATTTTTTAAACAAAAACAGAATTCAGTGGAAGTTAAATTAGCTGAAACATCACTACATCATAAAAGAAATGTCACTCTGTCTTATTCTGTCCAATTGGAAGTTTTCCTGATTCTGCCAAAATGCAATATCTTCACCAGGAAAGCAACAAAATTCTGTGTGAAACTGAAAAGTGTTGATTGTTTCACATTACAGTCCATATCCCATGAATATTGTAAGCAAGCTTCCCTCTGGTCTATTTCTCGGGAAAGTGTAGCACTTCATTTCCTTTGTCATGAATTAAATGCATGGCCATGACAGCAGAGGAATCTCAGTTAAGATACATAAGATATTTGGTATACTGAACTAAAAGAGAGCAATGACAATCAACATCAAGGGAAAGAGAATAAACAATACGTTTTAGAGTGTCCACTGAAAAATTAAAGGAATAATGGAAATCTATGAAGAATCCATCTGATGATATGGGCTGCAGTTCATGAAAAACTAGGTCAATAAAATGTGTTAGTCCATTAGCCAAGGTGATATATGCTTCGACTATATCTAGTTTGGATTACCATAATACACACTATGTGATGCAGTCATAGGTAAGAGAAAATTTTAAGAAATCTAAAATGCCAGGTCCCACCTCCAAATTGGTTACAGGTAATGTATAACCTGCTTATTAAAACAGCTTAATTGGCTATCAATACATTCCTAGCAATATGGGAAATACTATTAGGAAGAGCTGATCAGTCTGCATAGGTCTGCTGGAGAGTGGCATGCTTGTAAAATAAATCAGAGATGAAAAGGTTTGACACCACAGTCTTGAACCATTGTTTTCTGGGTGCTGAAACATCAAATAGATGGGAGAAATATTTTTTTTCCTGGAACATCCACTCTTTTTTAAACCAGGTATGGCAGGGGTGACAGAGCGCCTCATTGAAGCCCAATGTCACCTTCCATTATTCTCCCCTTTAAAACACATCTATGTCAAGACAATGTATCAGGAAAAAAGTCCAGGACAGAACTGCCTGCAAGTTCTCTCTGCAAGTATGTCAAGATGTACCAATGTTTTAGAGGGAAAATAACACAGGCTGGCAGATTGTGAACACCTCAGCACTATTGGACAGACAGTGGCAAAAAAGTACCATCACTGTGGTGGTGATATGAGAAGTTTTGGGGTTATATTTTCACAACTCACAACCAATTCTCGGATCATAACTGCTTGCAAAATGTTCATCAAAAGGTGACAATGTGTGTAGAGATGATTCCCTCTGCACCAGTTTATTCTATTTCCTTATTTTCTGCTAAGACTTTTGTAAGTAACCTAAATTATTAGACTAGGAATGTAAAAAATATTTTTCTGCTTCCAAATACTCAGTTAAAAAAGCTATTCTTGCGATGATCATAACTCTCTGTCAAGACAATTTAGATTTGCTTAGATTCTTCGCCATCTAGATTATTCACTATTTAGGAATTTCGTGCTCAAAATTACTCTCTAATCAAATGCAGGATTTTGTGATTTTCTGTACAGTATTTTTTTTTGCACAGAAAACAGCATTCTCTGAAAAAGAAACTGAAGAAAAAGGTGCCTTATATACATTAATTCTCCCTTTCTGCACAGAATCACAAAGTCTGAATCTAAATTACGTTTAAGGCTATGTCAAAAACAAATAAAAGAGGAATATTTATTAACCCTTGCTTTACAAAGTTATAGTCCTGTTATGATTAATGTAATTCTGGTGTTAGCACCCAGCTATCTAGGTCAGCTGCCCATGTCACTGCCCACAGTGATTGCTAGTATCAACACTTGCTTTGGTTCTTCTATGATCCATTTTTCCAGCCACACTATTATCTAGCAGGAGGTGATGGATCTTAGAAGCCACCTCCTTTTTCAATCTACCACAATGTGCTAGAGCAAAGCAATAGCAAATTTAAAAGAGCAGGCAACTCCTCAATGTAGCCACTGCTGCTAAGTGTACAGCTGGATTGGGGGCTCATACCATGAACCACGATGTGGATGAAGCTCAAGCCTCAAAAAGTCATTGTTTGTTTGCTTCCCTTTAGATCACCGCTGTGCTATTACCATCCACGTTGACATAGAAAAATGCCAACACCATGAATGTGGAATATTGAAATTAAATCAATATGCCGTACTTATGAGTGTAAGAAAAAGAAGACATTGTGGTGAAGCTCCTATTATCTCTCTATCTATGTAGGGGCAAGGGTATTCCATTAGCAATAGGGATGAAATGGATCAGACTGTTTCCTTCACAGTCTGTATGGACCCAAATAGGTTAATGAGCCTGTTAGTCATCCTAAGGTTTAGTGAGGCTAAAATAAGCATATTTATGCTAATCCCATTCCCAGGACTGAGAGAGAGCTGCAGGCAGTTGAGATTAGATATTTTTGAGACTGCACACAAACTTCCAAATGCAAGATGTCCATTGACCGATATGAATCATGAACAGAGTGGTTTTGACAGCCACATATCTACTGCATAACAACCTGTTTCAGCTATTTCAATATACCAGATTGAGACTTCTTCTCACCACCTTAACAAATTAGGTATTTAAATGCAATAGGCTAGAACGCAATGTGTTCTATGTGGAAGCTAAGTTAATGTGGAAGCTAACGGACAACATTCATAGGCCATTTGAATTCACTTGCCACCTGGAGGCAAAGTGAGTTCACACCATTATATAACTTTTCCAAATCTGCATATGGATTATTAGAGCAGTTCAATGTGTGGAAACAGAGAGAAATTTGCACTCAAAAGCAGCTCTTTTCATTTTTTCGCCTCAAGTGGTTTTTAATTTTTAGAATGCTCTCATTTTACTTCCTTTTTTCATAAATGTGTTAAGTGCATCTCCACTAATATTATATCTTTCAGCTGTCTTAGATTTCACACAATACAAACCACAGACCCCAAGGGCCCAGAAGTAACTTCTTTTAAGTAATTAGTTATATGTACTTATTTTTCACTAATGAAGCTATTGTTAACCTATATTAAAATGTAACTTAATAAGGGTCTAAATTCATCAGTTTTTCCGATTTTGGAAGTTAAGCAGGGTTAGTTTTAATACTTGGATGGGAGATAGCCAATGAATGGCAGATGTTGTAGGCTATATTTCAGAGGAAGGAACTGGCAAAACCAACTCTGTCGATTCTTTGCCTAAGGATACTCGCACTAGTAATTCCGCAGGTTCTGTTCACAACTCCATAGAAGCCTTGTGTACTTCAGTATAAAAATAAATAATCAAACCCTTCCTATTTTGTAATATATAGCTACTCTTTATTTCAGTAGTTTGAGCTGCTGTGCTATGATAAAATTTAATGTAGGGTGTATTTTTTAAAGCCATCAAATCCTCTGAATCCCATTAGTGGTGCTCACTCTGATGCTGTTATCCAATTTGTTATTTGCCACTAATATCTCTGCATATGTTCAAATCATTTTATGGATGTTTTATGGTCCCTAATAATACTTTTATTCCACTCTTCATCCAAGGAGCCCAAGAACTATATTTAAAGTTGACCCATTTTATTCCAAGAAGGGAAAGGTAGATTAGCTAAGGTATCTTTAGGTAATTACCAAACCTGCCTTCAAGCAGAACGACATGACTGACCAGGAGACTGGAACAAAGTTCCTTTTAACACAAATCCTATACTCAATCTGCACTCAGCAATTGTCAGGAGATTGACGCATGGTAAAGAGAAGAGAGATCAAGAAGAAGGGAGATGAACATAGAAAGGAAGATCGTAACACATTGCTGCCAATGTGAACCCCTGTCACCACAAATCCTTCTAACCTGAACAAATAATTAAAAAGGACAAAACAAATTTCACATCAATTCTCATTCATTAAACACAGTGGGTGGCGGTAGCAACACCAATCAGGGTCAATATTTTTGAAGCAGAATTAATGATGGAAGTGAGTGCTTTTCCATCATTGCCATCACCACCACCACTGCTGGTTATGTTTTTACTAAGAAGAGTCATGTGGCCATTCCATTCAGATAGATAGTCTGGGAGAAATAATTCCAAATCAACTCTGGCAACAATAGCTTTTTACTGACTCAGTAACTTCTCTCTGATTCTGCTGCATTGTGGTCAGGGGAAGTAGTCTCTGTCTGTACATTTATTTCACTTTTGAGTAGCTTTTAGAAAGAACTATTCAACTAGTGACCACTGTTTAGTGCTCTCACATCTTGCTGAGAAACATGTCAGACTACTACAAGGCAAGCGGTTTGTGGCCTTCATGGACCTGAAATCAGCATTTTATTTCATCTCAAGAAACAAACTATGAAGAAAGCTGAATAAAACATTGAAAGACAAGACTTCTAGGCCTCATCAAGGCCTTTTACAGGGGCACCAAACTTCAGATCAGATGTGGCAACCTGGGCCAACTCTCTGGTGACATATTCATGTCCAGAGGGGTATGTCAGGGATGCATCCTTGCCCCCACCCTATTCAACATATTCATAAATGATATGGAGGATACCCTTCTGGACTCCAATGGTCATTTGCCCAAGGTTGGAAATAGAAAAATCCCCTTACTGCTTTATGCAGATGACGCTGACATCATCTCATGCTCCAGGGCAGGTCTACATTACCTACTAAGGAAATTCCTGAACTATTGTTCCCAGAACAACCTAAAAATCAACTATGTGAAATCTAAAGTATTTGAAAAATGATTTCCCCCCCTGTCGTTGGTCTCTTGATGGGCATATCCTAGAACAGGTCAGAAGTTTCCAATATCTGGGGCTTTTTTTCACCACAGACTGTCCTGGTGTACTTACTATTTCCATTACCCTCAAAGCTCATGTAAGCAGTTCTGCCATTTTGTGTTTTAGTGGAACATTACACTATGAAACAGAATTAGAAAAAAAATATGTTCCTGGTTTGAAAGTGTCATTTACAGTTGAATTGTGTTGAACTTACTTAGAAAGTCATTGTTATACTCCATAATCTTCGTTTTTGTGGCTGCCACAAACTATATTGAATTGTTTGAGACTCTATGACAGTGGTTCTCAACCTGTGGGTCCCCAGATGTTTTGGCCTTCAACTCCCAGAAATCCTATCTGCTGGTAAACTGGCTGGGATTGCTGGGAGTTGTAGGCCAAAACACTTGGAGACCCACAAGTTGAGAACCACCGCTCTATGAGATATTCATTGAAAAACTATAGAAAAATGTGCTGTAGGATGTCTCACGAAAACAAAAGTTTTGCAGTTTAATAGACTTTTCCCGTGTTTTTATGATAGAACCAATTATGAATTGGCATTTATAACCCAGAAACAAAAATGGTGTTGGTTTAGATGGAACAGGACAGTAACTGAGGTGGGAGATCACCGAGATTCATCTTCTGACCATGTCTTCCTGACAGCAGGGTAAAATTATATTTCACATTAGTCTTCTCTAGTTTTTCACATATTGTATATCACATCTTGATGTTAGCAAGTAGCCCAGTGTCTCTGCACAACATGAGTAGGCAGCTGTGGAAAGCTAGGTGGATGTATTAGCATCTCCCTGGGAGATATTTGAGGGTTGCATTTGCTCCCCAAAAATAAAATTGCTTCTGGGACATGTTGACCATGTTTTGAGTTTTAAAAAAGGCCCCTTATAAATTGGCACAAAGAGTCTGCAAAATGTGGTGGAAAAATGCTCCATGCCCCTAGTATTTTGAGACATAGCATAGCCAATCCATCCATCAATCAAAATATAAAATAAAATATAAAACACAACAATATTTTGGAATTTCAAAGTGTGTTTTTGACCACCGAGGGACCAGAGGGCCTACACAACTGTAACAGTGCAGGTGGAAGCAATCTGGAGAAACATATTTAAAAATGGCCCAACAGAATTTTTGACCACTTGGGGTTTTTTTTTTCCAATGTCAGTTATAAAAAAGGAGAGATGTCTTAGATGTCACCAATTACTGAAGAAATACAAGATTTTTCCATCAATGCAGGGGAAGAATATTTGCAGAATATGCAAGATTGTTGGACTGGATTATCTGCCTATTTATTTCTTCTACTCAGAGAAAGTATACTGGCAAACATTTCACAGAGACTAATGAAAGCCTCCAAGGAACACTCATATAGACAAAATATGGGAGATTTTAGAATGAAGCTTTCTTTAAATATTACCATGTATTTTTTTTCTCAAGTATATGAGCCCTTTGAACACACAGCAAGAACTCCTTCTGTGCGGCTTAGCTGCTCTCAGAGAAATACTATATTGTCTTGGGCCAAGTTAACATGACTGTAAGCATCTTCAAAGCTTTACTGATGAAAGGAAGCTTGCTCAATTGGATTCTCTGAATTACACTCCCAAAAAGAGACTTTGTATACCATGTTCAAGAAAATGCATGACACAGTATTCTATTTGAGATTTCAACAAGTAATCACATCTGCAGCAGGTAGGTGAAGCCTAAGGTATGGGTGGGCACTTGAAGGCCCCTGTGAAAAAGGCCAGATTTGGTTGGTGCCGGCTAGTTTCACTGGCCCTTCATCACGTAACAAGGTTGGGTAAGTAGGTTATTTAAAGCCAATCTGCACCTGTCTATCATTTGTCTTGTGAGTAAGCACTGTGTGGCACCCTCCCCATTAGATAGTGAAGGATTGACTCCAAAACCAGTCCCTGTATGTTTTGGGAGATGGGGGCCTGCAATAAGGGGCTATCCTTAGGAATGAGGGTTCTCACTCTTGAAAAACTATGCGATTTGGGATGTCCTTCCAGTGATTATCGCCAAAAGGTGCAGCCAAAGAAATTTGGTTGGCCTTGGGGATCTATGGTGCTCATATGTCCTGGGGTGGTCAGAGGGAGTGACACATGGCTAAGGACAGTTCTCATTAGGTGGCTAATAACTGAAGAGTTACATCTTTATAGGTAAATTATTTAACTGTGTTTTCATTCATAGGTGGTTCCAAATGTTATAAATAAATAGGCCAAGAAATGATCCTTCAGATCCATTTTCTGTGTCTGGTCTCTTTATTTTGTGGTGGAAGTTCAAATTCTCCAGAGAGCAGGAAAATGGCCATAATAATAAAGAGAGGCATATACCGTTACTGTCATGTCAATTGTCTTGTCACAGAGCTGGAAGAAATACATTTTGATATATCCAAGTCATTAGTTGGAATCTAATTTTGTCAGCTAAGTGGAGTTAGTTCTGGTTAGCACTTGGATGGAAAACAGTGAATGAATGTGAGATGAATGTGGCAAAATGAGCTCTGAGTTTTCCTTGCCAAAGCCTTTTGAGATCCACGAGATTTCCAAAATTCAAATAAAGATATCGAATGTTTTTCCTTTTTTTAAAAATGATTTACACATTGTGCCAATGGTGTCAAAGAAAAGCCACAGCCCAACATTATTAGAATACCAGGAGGGAAATATACAAGAACTTAGTTTAAATAATGTACCAGTAAGGCCTTTTCGCAGACCACCATGCTTGCCCTGTGGCCAAGCTGACACAATTTTACTAAAAATTTCTAGATGTATACATGAGCATATTCAATCATTGTAAATTTATTGCAAAAGTGGGTAAAGAGGTACTGTTTTTAGTGACAGTTCTCTTTAGTCTTTAGGGTAGTAGATTTTTTTTTTCAAAAACAAGGCATAAAAACTAATATAATAAAAAATAGTATCTAGCAGCCCAAATTTACTGTAAGAATAATGAGTGTTGAAAATTAAATCAAAAATTTCTTTTAATTGCAAAGATTTAAGTAGCCAAAGTGATATTCTTATGGGACAGCTAAAGTAAATGGACCCAGAGGAAAAGTTTGTAGGAGAAATTCTCCAAAGTCCAATATATGAAGTCTAGAAAGAAAGGATGGAAATTATACCTGGTACAATCAATATGATTTGCCAGGTTCTTTCATGTCAGCTTTTGGAGAGCCTAGCTCTGTTTTACAAATTTCAATTAACAAGACACAACATTAAAATAACCAATAAAATAGCATAATCCCTGTTTTAATTGCATAAACATTGAACGTCAAGTTCAAAGCAACAGCAAGCTGAAAGTGGAACCTTCATGCCTTTGAACTTTAGAAAAGAGTGTAAATTTATCTAATTTCTACCAACTATACTGGAACCAATTACAATTAGCCAGGGTATTTGGCAACCTCATAATTTCATGCCCTTACCAACCAGTCGTGGATATGACCCTTGAGGTTTGGCCCAGCTGTTCCTGTTATGATTTCGTAATCAATGCAGCCTATTTATTAATGCAGTGCTTTCTCATTAGCAGTGCAAATGAGACTTGTTATATAAACAAATAAATTATTGAACTCTGAAACATTTTCAGACATCTGCATACCAGTGCTGCCATTGCCCAGCCAGTCTTGTTGTAGATGAATTCTAAGTTATTTCGCCGTAGGTAGAGCAAACCACCAACCAGTGATACTAGGAGGGCCAATGCAATAGTGCCTGAATAGTTTGGTGGCCTGAACACTCTAATCTGCAGCAGAAGGAAAAGCATAGCACATATTATGCCACTTATATATAACAGTATATACATATACCATTCAAGTGAATGAACCTTGCATATAGGTTACTCAAAAAAACAATGACACACACATTCTAAAATACATATTTTTGATGTTTTTTTTCTGAGGGGAGAACAAATTCTTTTAAAGATGATAACACACAAAGAGTCAAAGTCTTGTTCTTGAACAGACTTTTCCCTAAAACTGTCAGGTAACATTATATAAGCTTTTTAAAAAATAAATAAGCTAAATAAGGCATTATAAACCGGATATTAAATATACTAAATTTCTTTTTTCAGGAAGTATTTCTATGCACACATAGCCTTCTTGTAGAAAGGAAGGACAAGTCTGACTTTGGTAGAAAAGTATCTCCACTATATTTTTTACACGAATAAAAATATTTTCAAAATCACATTCTAACTTCTTGGTTATTCACTTCTTCCTAATAATCAGGAAACATAATTTGTGAATTAATAAAGGACAGTTTGATTCCACTTGCCCTTGCTGTTGGGGCCAGGAAGTTACTGTGCCAATACATTGTATATTGTATTTAAGCCTCTATAATGGCACAGTAGAAACTGTCAGTACGGGCTAAAAATATTCACCACTCTGCAGCATAAGACATCTTTGGCAAAAAGAATCGTAACAGAATTGCCTCTGTGTGCTTCTACATGGATGGGAAGACTGCCAGTGGCATAAGATTCACCAATAAAAGAAAAAGGACATTTTACTATAATGGTGAAAAAGAGATGGGTAATGGCCAAGAAGAGGGAGAATGCAACATCACAGCTCAAGCACTAGAAATGAAATTACATTTTTTTTTCATATAGAAAACCCAAAGACATTCAGTTCACAATTTTTTTTGCTATCTATCCTCACTTGGCAGGATATTCTTTCTCCCACCATAACCTGATTGTCACTAAGAAATGCAACTTGTTGTCCTAGGAAGATTCTATTAAGAAGTACAAAGTGAAATCTTAGCAACTAAGTTCATAGATGCTGCTTATATATTGCTTTTCTGCAAATTTTTATATTGCTATTGTGTGGATAATGCTTTTATACAGCCTAGCCATTAGGTGGCAATGGACTTAAGTTATATTGGGGTAGATTCAAGAGGGGTTTTTTTTGCTTCTAGTTCCTTAATGCTAGAGACAGAAAGAGATCAAGAATAACATGAGCAGAGTGTCCTCTAAGCCTTCCACAATAAGCATTAAACCACACTGAGGCAGTCATACATCTTCAAAGTACTATAGTATATACAAATGATGAAGTCTAGCAAAAAGATTGTTACTCTAAATTAGGGAGACAAGATGAATGAACTTCCACTGGGAAGTTCTCCCATACAAGATCTGGTGAAATGAAAGAGAGTTACATGGCAGCAAAAAATCTCTTATGCGGTCTTTATTCATTTCAGTCAGTTTGTATAAAAGAACTCCCTGGTGAGTTTTGTCCCATTTTTTTCAGACATACAGATAAGTGTGATTTGAGAAGTGAACTCAAGTTTCCCACCCATTCCTTCTCCAACTGTGTCTCACTCCTTAGAGCTGTTTTATTGGGATTCTCTCACTGTGATACATTGCTAGATTAATTCCGAAAATATATCAATTTTACCTTTTAAAGAAATTGTTTCATTCCATATTTTTGCCTGTATATAGTTAAATAAGGCTTTTCAGTATATTTACCATTTGCACATCTATAGCATTAAAACCCCCTTCAGACCTGCAGAGTTATTACTTGCAATAAGCAGTATTTCAAGTATGTGCTCACATTAATCAACTAATTGGTACACTATATTTCTCATGTTCTGCTAGACGACAGCCAGATTAATATTTTACCTTCTGATGCAAGACGGAATACTTATTTTTTTCTTGGTTACTACAGTGTGATGGAGTAGCATAGCTGGTATTTTTATTATTATTTTAATAGTTTTTTGAGGAGCACTCTTAAGGGAGCAAGTCAGTAGGTAGTTCCAAGGGTCAATTGTCACAGAACATGGAGATAAGTGTGAATCAGTCTCTTTACTTTTGTCGAGTGACTTACATGAACATCAGTTCTGTCAGCTATCCACTTAGCTAACTGTTCTGCTGCGAATCCAATTCTCTGCAGGTCAAATGTGTCAGCTCTCTTGGGCTTACCTTTTGGAGGGAAATGCATGAACGTGGGAGCAGAGTTCATATTGAGCTACAAGAGACAATGAAGATGCCATCAAATATTAAATAAGCATATCTGTTCTTTGTCTTTCTCACCCTTTTAGATAACAGTTACAGTAGCTTTGGAACACAGCATGTAAGCCCCAATCTATTAGGTAACATTAAAAGACACAGCTTTTATGAGAAGCTACTGATATTATGTATGTGAAAGAGTCTGAACACTCAGAAAGCTATATAAATACTAAATGTGACCATTATCTTTCATTAATGAAAATAAGAAATATCTTATTATACCTACAATAATAATAATAATAATAATAATAATAATAATAATAATAATCTTTATTTATACTCCGCCACCATCTCCCCAATGGGGACTCGGAGCGGCTTACATGGGGCCAAGCCCAGACAACATATTACAACAAGATAAAACCAGAGCATAAACAATAAACAACACCATTAAAATTACATAAAGGAAAAAAAATATAAACATTCCAATAAGCACAACCACAAGGGACTCTCCACACCAACATAGTTGGTGGGGAGAGCGATTTGCCCCACCCCCTGAAGGGAGAGAATGGGAGGTTCCAGTTAGAACCTCCTGGAAGAGGGGCGGGGGCTGGCTAACCACGTGAGCCAGCCTCCGTCCTTCAGTCTTGTCAGACTTTTCGTGAGACAAGACGCTTACCGTTCTGCTCCAGGTCAGTATTGGAGCAGGGACTGGTGGAGCTGCTCCTTCTCCTTTGGAGGCGGCGAGGAGTTTCGGCGGGGCGAGGGATCGGCGGCTGCCGTTTCTCTCGCCGCTTTAGTCATCCGGCGGCAAAGTCGCGAGAGGGGTTGTGCGGGCTCGCGCGGGAGTGCGGTTGCTGCTGCCGCCGGGCGCTGGTTTCGCCCCTCTGTTTTGAAGGCCGCGAGATTTGTGGCGTGCGGCGCGTTTTGTTAGGACGCGCTCTTAGCCGGCAGCTCCTGGGCGCCCTCTGGGCGCTTGTGTTGGCCGCAGTAACGGCCGGGAGCGGGCGGCGCAGGCGCGTTTTGGAACGCGATCCTGGCCTGCTGTTACTGGGCACCCACCATGCGCCTAGGGCGGGTGCCCCCTTTTTTGTTTAAAACTGTGTTGGCGGCCGCCATTTTGAGCTGGCGGTGGCGCAGTTTGGGCCTTTGGTGGGAACGGCCGCCATCTTAGGGCCGTTTTGCAAGCGGTGCCATACGGTGGCTGCGGCCGCCATTTTGGATGGCATTTTCGGCAGTCGCTGCCATTTTGGGCCAATTTGGTGCAGGCTTGACGCAGTTGTCATCAATTGGCGGCAACGGTCGCAATTTTTTCTTTTACTGGGCGCAGTTCGCGCCAGGCAAGGTCGGTTGCATGGCCCTTGCCTGTGGAGCGAGCGGATGTAATAATGACATTTATCAAACACAATCATGATATCTGAGGCTTGGGGCTGTTAATGCCTCTCAGTTAGGGGCCTCTTCACGTTAGGGGGGTTGTTTAATGGCACAAGGGGTTGTTTGAGTTATGAGAACACGAGCTGTTTTGCCCACTGAATTTTCAAATGCCCCCTTTTCCACCACACATTGGAAACTACAGGGTGATATTAAAATACCATAGCCAGCTTAGATCAGAACTTTAATGGCTTTGCTAATAAACTTTCCTGTGTTGTGGTACATATGACTTTAGGTTGAACATATGTGAGTGCAATAGCACTTAGTAGAAGGCATAGTACAGGAAGGCAGTACGCTTCCAATTTATGTGCGGCTTTCCTTAGTAGGGCAGATATTTTTATCTCTTTCAACTCTTTGATTCTACCCCGCCATGCGGGACAAGGGTAATTTGTCACCTTCTCCTTGTTACTGAAGTTGGGGGCGAACATTTGCCCGTTATAACTGAGTTGCTTAAATCTGGCGATGCCCAGGTGGTGATAGGGAGGAGAGGGTGATGGGACATGGGGTCTTTTCCAACTCTTTGATTCTATGATGCTAAGGAGCTTAGTCGGGGGGTGTGGAATGGCACAGTGTGTCTCTTCCAACTCTTTGATTCTATGTTTATGTGGTGCGGTGGGCACTTTTACATCACTGGAGGGAGTGGATAGGGGCTGCCATGGGGGCGTTAGTGCTCGGTGTGTGGAGCGGGCTCTCATTGGCATTCTACTCCCTTTTATTTTTGTAGGATGCCATCAAAGAACAGGGGGGGCCTGAAGGGGAAGGGTCCCGCGGAGAAGACGGGTCACAAGCACCCTTTGCGTCAGGATGGGTCGTCGTCGGATGAAGATGGGGTGTCTATGGAAGATTTGGAGGCCCTTCTTCAGCGTGTTAACCAAATAGAACAAAATAGGGGGGTTGGTTTGGGTGGGGCTGGTTCAGGCCCCACTCGCCGGGCAAGTAAGAAACAGTTGTTCAAATCTTTGTTGTCCCGGGTTTCTATTATAGAGTCGACCTCAGCCGCGGGGGCGGAAAGGGCGGTCCGGCTTCCTGAACAACCGGTGGTTCTGGAGGCTGCGGAGGGCTCTTCTTTGGTGTCTTCGGCCATGCAGACTATCACCAGCCCCGAAGTACATCCATCTGTGCAGGCTTCGTCTGGCTCCTCGGCGGCTGCTGTGGCCGGACCCAGTCAGCCCGCGGCATTGGCCTCTACGTCCAGTGCTGTGGCCGGGTCCACTCAGTCGGTGGGGTCGACTGTTGCTGCCATCGATGTAGCAGGGCGTGAGCAGTTGGTGACGGCTGTCCCAGCAGGTACTTCCACCACACTCACATCATCGGGCACTTCCACCTCACTCACATGGCCCTGGGATCAGGGGCGGGCTCAACCTGTGGTGGGGGTTCAGTCTTATGCTGCAGTTGGGGTTCAGTCTGCGGGTGGGTCAGAACCCAGTACAGGAGATAAGAAGGATGTTTCTGCTGCTCAGTCGGCCAAACCAGCTACTGTCACTTTGGAATCGGCCCGAACTGGGGAAGCAAACAAATTTTGGGGCACAGCAAAATGGCCACCACAGGCGACGCCTACTGTTAGTCTTTCTGGTTTAGGTTCCCATTTGGCGACTAAAACTATGGAGAAGATTATGAGGAATGAATACATCGATATCTTTTCTCTATACTTTAGGGATATGGATAAGAAGGAGAAGGATGAGTTAGATGAGGACAGTAAGGAGAAAATGAAGAAACGCAAGGTTGAGCAGAATTGGGAGAACTGGCTCCCTTGTTTCACAATGTATGCGAACTTGCTCTCTGATGCTGCCCCAGAAAGGGCTACGGCCTTGTGGAAGTACCAGAATATTATTAACAAGGCTTATGTCAGCGGCCCTCCTAACGCTTGGCTGGAATATGATCGGCGGTTTAGAACCGAAGCGGCTTGCCATCCAGACAAGCGTTGGGATTTGATTGATGATCAAATTTGGATTGAAGTGATGAATCCGTCTAGGGCTTCTTCTGCTTTGAAAGCCGACAGTGGGCACACTATTCAGAACAGAGCAGGGCAGCCCTTTCGGCAGGGGGCTCCCCAGCTGCAGTCCCAGCGACAAAAGCCTCTATGCTGGGAATTTGTGGCTCAGGGAGCCTGTTCACGTAAGGGATGTCGATATGCCCACTCGTGCTCAATTTGTTACGGCACGCACCCGTCCAGAAATTGCCCCAAAGGGAGAGCCGCGAGAGGTAACCCTAGGGACACTCAATTTGTTAAAAAACCCTCAGGACAGGCCTCAGTTCCAAAAGGGCCCCAGCCCAATTAAGTTAGATCAGTTGAAGGTCTGGTTAGATAAGTACCCGAATAGGGGGTCAGCTAAATACCTATGGGAAGGTTTTTCGGAGGGTTTTCGTATTCCGGCGTTGGGTCCCCGGTTTCACACTTTATCCCCAAATTTGAAATCCGTTATTGGTATGGAAGATTTGGTTCAGCGTAAAATAGATAAGGAAGTTTTAGAGGGGAGGGTTTTGGGCCCATTTACGGCGCCACCAACGCCGATGTTGCGGGTATCACCTTTGGGAATAGTACCAAAGAAAACTCAGGGGGAATATCGCCTTATTCATCACTTGTCCTATCCCAAGGGCAGGTCGGTGAATGATGCGATTCCTGATGAGCAATGCTCTGTTCATTACGCATCGTTTGATTCGGCCGTGCAGCTGGTTCGGCGGTTTGGGCTTGGGGCAGAGCTGGCTAAATGCGACATTAAGTCGGCATTTCGTTTGCTTCCCATCCATCCGGCGGATTTTGAGCTGCTGGGTTTTCAATTCGGGGGTTTTTTCTACATGGACAGAGCACTTCCCATGGGGTGCTCCATTTCCTGTGCGGCCTTTGAGCAATTTAGTACCTTCCTGGATTGGGCCGTTAGGACCAAATCCGGAATGTCTGGAGTCACCCATTATTTGGATGATTTCCTGTTTGTAGGGCGTTCCGGGTCGGGTAATTGCAGGGGGTTACTCGAGTCATTTCAGGGGCTAGCGCAGGAATTAGGGGTTCCCTTGGCGGAGGAAAAAACGGAAGGCCCGTCAACGGTTCTGACTTTTCTGGGGATTGAAATGGATACGGTTCAGCAATATTCCAGGTTGCCTCCTAATAAAGTGGCAGACTTGACGGGCAGGGTTCAACAGTTTTTGTATTGTAGAAAGGCCACTTTAAAAGAATTTCAGGAGTTAATTGGCCATTTAAATTTCGCGTGTAGGGTTGTTGCCCCGGGGAGGGCCTTTTTACGTAGGCTATGTAATGCCATAGCAGGAGTTAAAATGCCCCATCATAGGATTAGGGTTACTCGTTCAGTTAGGGAGGACCTATCCATTTGGTTGGAATTTTTGGAAGGTTCCAATGGGGTTTCATTCTGGAGACAGGAGTTAAGGCTGCAGGACGCTCTCAAAGTGGCGTCCGATGCATCAGGTGCAGTTGGCTTTGGGGTGTTTTTTCAGGGACACTGGTGTGCCAAAGTCTGGCCGGACAGTTGGCACGCGCAGGGGATTACAACAGACTTAACATTTTTGGAATTTTTTCCCATACTAGTTGCTGTTACAGTATGGGTTGAGGCCTTTGCCAATTAGACCGTTCATTTTTGGTGTGATAACCTTGCCACCGTTCAGGTTATCAACACTTTGACATCAAAATCTAATAGGGTGATGGGGACGCTTAGGCAGTTCACATTACACTGCCTGAGGTTTAATATCTTGTTTAAAGCCTTTCACATAGCGGGAATAGACAATTCTTTGGCTGACGCTCTATCTCGTATGCAGATGGAGCGCTTCAGACAACTCGCGCCCAGCGCCGACGTTCATCCACAGCGTATGCCAGGCCATCTTTGGCAGGTTGGAGGGATGAGGCGGTAATGGGTATGGCTTTAGCACTAGCCCCAAGTTCACGAAAGTCTTACCTGAGGGTGGTTGAGGAGTTTCACGATTTTAGACAGTTTTACCAGTTACCGTCTACAGTACCAATTCCTTATGAACATTTGGCGCAATTCTGTGTGTACTCGCACAGAAGGGGCCTAGCGCCGCACACTATTAAGTCCCAGCTGTCGGCGTTGGCCTACTGGTCAAAAGCACAGGGCCTTTCGGATCCCACAAACAATTTCCGCCTACATAAAATTATTGCGGGTTGGGCGCGCCAACGGGGTCCATCACATGATAAAAGGGAACCCTTGTCACCCACAATTTTAAAGGGATTGAGGGGAACATGGCCCAGAGTGTGTCGGTCCGAGTATGAGCAGCGGTTATTCCACGCGGTGGCCTTGACGGCCTTTTTCGCTGCTCTTAGGATTAGTGAGTTGCTCGCCATGTCAAAAAGTGATGTCTCTCAGAGGGCGTTGCTGTTGCAAGATATAAAGCTATCGCATGACAACCTCCAAATTTTGGTACGTTCGTCCAAGACGGACCAGCAAGCCAAGGGTGCTGTGGTTACATTAGCCAGATGCAGTGACCCTGAGCTTTGCCCTGTTTCGGCTATGGCACAGTTCATTCAGATTAGGGCTCAGGCGGGGGGATATTTATTTTGTCATCAGGATTCCACCCCCCTCACAAAATACCAGTTTTGGGCCATCACAGATAGGGCGCTGAAGATGCTGGGGTTGGGTTCTCACAAATTTGGCACTCACTCTTTTCGAATTGGAGCGGCATCTTCGGCAGCACATTTGGGTTACAATGAGGAGGCCATTAAATCAATTGGAAGGTGGAAATCGGGCGCTTACAGGCGTTATATTCGCTCGGTACTTGTTTGAGTTTGTTGTTTATCTTTCAGAGACTGCCAGGCTGGCGCATAGATGGAGAATCCTTGTTTGTGGGCATAGTTATGTCCACTGGGCGGAGAGATACGCCAGGAACTCGTCCTTTGGCCAGCATCTGGGTTGCGCTTCCACTGCATTGGTCGAGTGGAAGGGTGTTCGGGGCCTTCGTTGGGACGGTTTGGTTCCATTGTTGTTCCAGGACAGGAGCAGGCCCACTCCTGATGTTTTGGTGCTCCATATTGGAGGTAATGATCTTGGCCTGCTTAACGGCAGGCCAAGCCCGTGCTGACATTTTGAAGATCTGGCAGGCATGGCCCCGGGTTCACATCGCTTGGTCGGCCATCATTCCACGCCTTCGGTGGCCAGGAGGCGGTGACGTCAGGAAGCTCGAGAAGGCCAGAAAGCGTGTGAACCGGGCCATGCGCACGGCTTTAGCACGGGGCAGAGGGTCTTACATTCCACATAAGGACATCACGCATGACAAATCACAAGTTTTACCGTTCTGATGGTGTACATTTAACAGATTTGGGTAACGCACAATTTTTGGCTGATTTGCAGTTTGGCATTCAGGAAGTTTTGAGGGGCTTGGTGGGGGATGGGGGCGAAATAGACATTTGCCCCCAATCTGTGGCATAAATAGTTCAGGAAAACACTGACATGGAGGTATACACATGGCACCCATTAAGGGTGGGGGGCACTGTACAACAAACACTCACCTAGAAGTCAACAAATGGGTGAGGGGACATCAATTGGCACAGTAAAGAGAAGCTGATATCAATAATCGGACACAGGCTTCTCCAGACTTTTACCTTCAGGTTGCCCGGTTGGGGATCCAGGGCACACAGACATCACACACTAAGTAGCTGGGGACGCTGCCTCAGCTTGCCACCAAGTTCCTTGACACTTAGTTTAGTTCAGGTAAAGTTAAATAGGTAACATTCAATAAAAGTTGCCCAATTTGAATCCATACCTTTGTTGTCTGTCTCGTTATTTCAGGGGTTAAGGGGCAATAACAATAGGAGGGCCACATGTACAGGATAAAGCAATTAAAAGACTCTAATGAGATAAAAATAGGAGCAAGTTATTTGCAGGGAACTCATAAAAACACACAGAGTTGTGAAGCTAAACTTCCCATTTGGAGGGTGTGTGGAGAGAGCGTTGAGGGGTGCAATGGTGGCATTACAAGATTCTAATGCATGTGAATTAATATGTTTACATTGAATTTTGAGAGAAAGGAGGGAGTAAGGAGAGCACTCTGCTACCAACAAAAGATTGTCTCTAATGCTACTTATATACATGCATGGCCACCTTCATTACCAAGAAAGTATGTTCGCTACACAACAAAATTATGCTACATAAATATATTATTTAAATGTTGCAGTTTCTAATTTTGCACTATTATCAAGCTTCATGTTAAATAATTGAATTTATTCCAGGTACAACATAATCTCTACCTTCAGTGGCAGCTCAATATCTTATGAAGCAGCAAACTATGACATACAAGGAAATTCAATTATTTTTGGTTGAGGGAAACATTTCAGAAGGCAACAGGCAGCCTTGTGGAACCAGATCACAAGTTGTTTTGTGATCTGGGACAAGGGAAATGCAAACACAAGTTTGTTTGTGTTTTAAGTCATTGGATCAAGATACATGCTTCTATGTGAACTAAATTGCTTCAGACCATGGCCCTTATCACTTTACACAATGATAGAGCTTGGATTCTACTTTAACTACTATGGATCCATCCTATGGATCTCTTAAATTTGCAGTTCTGGGAGTGGCATTTAGAATTCTCAGCCATCTTGTCCCCCATGAAAGTACAAGCCCCATAATTCTAGACAAAATAGCAATGACAACTAAAATGAATTCATAATGGTATAATTCTATATCATGAAAGAGCGTCACATTTCGCCTAAACTTTCAGTAAAGGCAGCTCACCTTTTTTTTAGAGGGGGGGGGTCAGATAAAGAAGGGCTCGTACACCCCAACGTCTTTGCACCCACCTCTGCTCTCAAGCATTGCTCAATCTAAACTGGACTAAACATCGACATACATTAATTTTTCTGTATAGTACAATAGTGTTGTATATCGTTCATCTTTAGTGCCTCACCAGGAAATAAAGTATGATGCAAAAAAACCCCAAAAACAAAACTAATCTCTGCTGTGCTTATACTTAAAAAAGCATAAGATTATTGTTGTTGTTGTTATTATTATTATTATTATTATTATTATTATTATTATTATTATGTAAGCACACAGAATATTTCTGATATGTTAAAGCAATGAAGTGCAGAAATATATCCTTTGAAAAAAGGGATTTACACATAACTGTTTTATCATTTAGGAATTCATGCTCTCACCTGCTGAAAAACGTCAGCACCTTCATCATAATCAACGATAGTGAAGAAAAGTTTGTTTGAAAATGCTGAAGAGTAGCGCCATGAGTTTGCCAGGACTTGGTATTCTTCATTAGCCTGCCTATACATGTAAAGATAGAGAGACATTTTAGCTTATGAATAAGTACAGCTTTAATAACTATATACATTAATCTCACATAAGAAACTATATATATAAACAAATGTATAATCTGACAAAGAATATGGAAATGAAAGAGTCAGAAGTCTGCAAACATAATTTAAGTTCTCTTATCCAGAAATCCAAAATACTACAAAATCCCAAAATTTCCCCTTGGGTGATTCAGATAGTGGCACATATGCTTTCCGATGGTTTGACATATGCAATTTTTATTTAATGCAAAAAATTATCAAAAATAGTTCATATAAAATTGCCTTCAGGCAATGTGTATAAGGTGCACATGAAACATAATTGAATTTCATGTTTAGATTTGTGTCCCATCTCAAAGACATCCCAATAGGCCCTTCCTGTTAGTAGGTTACAGCTTTGCAGATTTGATTAATATATTTTCTCTAAGTCCTCCAATGCAATTCCATCATCTACTTCTTCCAGAAGTTGTGTCAGAGAACCTAGAGCTTCTTGGAAAGAACACTTCGCATCCTGAATGATTCTAGTAGAAATTGCTCATAGAATTGTGTTGGAGTAGCTGAAGCATAAAGAGATGTTCGCTTAGGTTAAAAAAAATAGTTACTTCATTCATGTTTTCCCCACTTTCACAGGAGACCTGTGCCCTAATATGAGTGAATGTCAAGTTCTGACTGTATTTGCAAATATTCCAAAATCTGGAAAACAATCTGAAATCCAAAATCGTCTTGTTCAAGCATTTATTGTGGGATACTTAACCTACAATACAAATTATAATGTATCTCTTTATTTAAAGCATTTATATTCCACCCTTCTCACCCCGAAGGGGACTCAGGGCGGAGCACAACATATAAACGGCAAACATTAAATGCCGAAACATACTAGTCCATACACATACAAAAACATTAAAATCACTTATCTTCACATTAAAATCCTCTAACTAAAACTGTCTCATATCAATTTTGGTTGGCATACTAAGAGTTCCTATCGCTGCCTAATTACATAGTCCCAAAGGCTCAGTTCCACAGCCATGTTTTTATAATCCCTTTAAAGGACAAGAGGGAGGGTGCCGACCTGATCTCATTAGGAAGGGAGTTCTATAGCCGAGGGGCAATCACTGAGAAGGCCCTGTCTCTCGTTCCTGCCAAACGCACCTGTGATGGTGGCAGGACCAAGAGCAGGGCCTCCCCAGAAGATCTTGATCTCCATGGTGGTTCATAGGGGGAGATGCGTTCGGACAGGTAAATTGGGCCAGGGCCATTTAGGGCTTTATAGGCCAAAGCCAGCACTTTGAATTGTGCTCGGTAGCAAACTGGGAGCCAGTGGAGCTGGCATTACATGGGAGTTGTGTGCTCCCTGTACGCCGCTCCAGTTATTTATAGCACTTTTAAGTGCTTCACACACATTATCAAGGTAGGAGAAGGTCATAGTTTGCCAAAATTACTTTTTTAGATTACAACTCCAAGGATTCCAAATGCTGGGAACTGTAGTCAACATAACTTTGCCCTATGGGTATTTTCAAGGTTCTGGCCCATCAACAGCTTGAAAAAGGTAGCTCTTCCAGCCTAAGTGGTAGGCTTGCCATAAAGACATAAATGCAGTGGGTTTCTCAAACTTGGCTGACCTGAGGGACTTGAAGGCACTCCTTTTTAATTCAGAAAACAATGCCCCCTGAAAACAATCTGCATTGCACTGTAGCATTGCTTTCAGGTGATTTTTAAAGAGAAGAGAGTTGGCCATTTTCCCTCTATGAGCATTCTGTTCAATATCAGGGAAAATCACTTGGATGTGCAAGGCAGCCAAGCCAATGCCTAAAAGTTGTGACAACTGCTTCATCTTTATGAAAAGCCTACTATCACAAAAATGTTCAATCCATTGTTAATACATTCCAGAATCATATTGGTATGCTTCTTGTAGAGGTTGTTCATCTTCGAGGCCTCATGTTGACAAACTTTCCTAAAATAAACATAGGTCACAATAAAACAAGACTTAACAAGTAGCACAAAAGGAGGAATAAACGAATTGTGTGAGAATTTCTAATGAAGAGCAGGATGTGGACATTAATATTTCATTTCAATGCTGTTGCTGTCGAGACAGGCTATTCAACCTCTCATCGGCGGATTCTATTGTACTTAAGAAATCATGTAAGGATATTATTTGCCTGAAAGGGACACTATATTAGGGTTGCTCACATAGCATAGTGATCATACATGCAAAGTTATCTGTACATGTGCAGAACTGTTCATAAGAAAGAACAGTTGGTGGTTTTACCTTTCCTTTTAAAGTAAGTACCTATCAAATAAGCTGTGCTTTGTCCACTCTAAGCCTCAAAGACCTCTCCTTTGGGGCAATGTTCACATGTAGAATGTCATTTATAATAATTTCTCTTCTCTTTGAGTACTGGTAGTAAAAAAATGAGGCATCCATGGGTGCCAATGGCCCAAACAGCTTAATGTTGGCAAGTCAAAGAAAGCAGAATTGAGAAAATCCCCTTCCGTGAAGGAAGAAAGAAAAAAAAGAACATTCTGCTGTGTGACAATTTCAAAAGCTCAAGGAAAAGTGAATTCTGTCTTCAAGAGGAAGTAAAATAGGAAGGAAGTTGGGGAAAGCACAACTTAGTACAGTGGGTCCTTGGTATCCACTGGTTGTTGGTTCCAAGACTCCCCTCCCCAACTCAATCCCCTGAATAGCAAAGTTCATGGATGTGCAAGTTCCATTATATACAACATTGCATGAAATTGTCCTTTTTTCAAGCTGCAGATGGTTGAATCCTTGGATGCAAAATCTGTGGATACAGAAGGCCAACTGTAATAGGAATTGTGTGGTTGTGTGTGTGAGAGAGAAACATTAGAACTGATTGTTATTATCACAAATCTATGAATATTTACTCAGAAGTTGATCTCATCATATTGAAGGATTATATTCTTGCATGTGAAAATGGCAACCCCACACAAATATATATTGATCATATTCTTCTATAGGTGTCCGTATGTTTCATTTTCTCTCGTCTTTTGCCACCCACGGTTACTTCTATGTGCCCACCCTACTCCCTTTTCTTTACCTATGTACACACACACACATACACACAATGATGTTATGTAAATCATAGGAAACAGAAATAAGGAGGATGGGATGATCACACAGAATTCACAAACATAGATGCTCCAACTAAAAGAAAGAACTTACCAGTTTCAAGTAAGTAAGGTAGTCTCAAGTAATGGCTTCCTGGCTATCTTACATAACATGCATTTATATATCTATTTACCTGGCAACAAATCCCACTGGTCGTCAAGACTAGAGAATATGAGGCACTACTTTTTTTTGCACACTTGCTCGCAGGGATAAGAACAAAATTCTGTTAAAACTTGGCAAGTCCTGATAGGAGTCCTCAGTCATCAGCAGAAAAATAAGCTGTTAAAAAGAATGATGCTCCCAAGATCTCTTTCTCAAGGCCACTCCTTGAAGCCACAAAGATATCAGATAAATTGCACACACATACCCCAAAACCACAGAGAGTGAGAATCTCTTGGATGTTTTCTCTTCTCAACAGCAACTCAAGAGGAGCCCAGGGCCAGAAAAGAAATGAAGTGTCATTTTTAAAAAGAAAGAACAATCTCCCATTTCTCTCCTGAAGATCAATCCCGCCCAACAAAACTACTAGAAAGTAAGTCTTTCTTGGAGATCTCATACTATCAGGGAAGAGTTATACTGAAGAGATGCTTTGGATTTGGTTTTTTAAAAAGAATATCTGCTCCTCCAGAGAACCTCTTCTCAAGAGCTACATTGAAGAGCAGTTTTAACAAAAAGAAAGCAAACTTAGATAGTCCAGTATTGGAGAAGGCAAGCTGTACTCCAGGTTTTTTTTTTCTCAAACATTCCTCTAAGATTAAATTCACAGAAGCATAACATTAGAAAAGAGAGCAAGCGCCACCCAGTCCAACTCTCTACTATGGAGGAATACACAATAAAAGTACTTTCAATAGCTAGCTTTCCAGGCTCTGCTTAAAAACCTTCAGTGAAGTAGACTCCTTCACATTCCCAAGGTAATATATTCCACTGTTGAACAGCTCTTACCAAACTTACTGAAGTCCTTCTTAATGTTTAGATGGAATATCTTTTCCTGTAGTTTGAATCCATTGCTCCATGACCTATGGCTCTTCTACACATGCATTAAAACCCAAGAGGAAGTGGGTTAAAAAAAGGGGGGGTGGCTAAATGATAAAGAGCGGGAGGAATCAGGAGGAATCGGGTTAAGGGCTAGAAAACACATATTTCAAAGGTGCCTTTTAAACCCGATTCTTCCTGAGAAACATGCACCTTTCCATGCCGACATGGAAAACATGTGTTTTCCTTCCCTCCATCCTGAAATACACTCCTGCAGAGCATGTGTATTTCTGAAAAGCCCAAAACAGCCTGATCAGTTGTCAAACGGAGACACAGGTGGCTCGGGAAGCATATGGAAAGCAAATACAACTCTCCCAAATTCTGTCTTTTACACTTTGTAATGTTAAACATAGCTTGAATTAACAAATGGGGGAAGACAGAGATCCAAGGAAATGTTTTTTTAAAAAATGCTCCATTATGCACTGAACCTCATATGTGCATCTCTGGTGTGATTGTTATTAAACCCTTTCATCGGATGACTTCCTCTACCTTGTTCTGATACAAAGAAAACCTGTGAGGATGGTTGGGGAGGAGCAATCCCAGAATAGGTCTGTGTGAGGGCCTGCATTCAGGTCCTAGAATGTCCCCCCCCCCCCATTTTAAACCTGAGTTTTGGTTGTGTCCGGAAGTGCCCCTACTCTCTAGTCTAGAGCAGTGGTTCCCAATCTATAGGTTGCAGACCAGCAATGGGCCACGAGAACAAAAATCTGGTCTGTGAACCGCCTTCCTCTTTATTTTATTTTATTTATTTTATTTCCACTCCTTTCCACCGAGCTGATCAGCCTCTCCCTGCCCCCGCCCCTTTGCCATCCCGG